TCCTTTTCCTCCTGGCTGTCCCCTGCCAGCAGCTCATCAGCTAAAGATCTTTGTCCCTGCTATGGACGATGTCTGGTTCAGTAGATGATGTGCCCTGCATGAACTTTGAAGCCAACATATTTGCAAAGAGCCTGTGCCAGCACTGTTTCAGAGCCGCCGGGGCTCACCAGCATGCTATCCAGGTGAGCACCTCCATCCCACCTGGAGGCTATGAATACTTTATTAAGGGCCCCTTTGTTCCATGCTGGCACTCCAAGTGCCTTTGTAGAGATGGAAATCCCTAACACAAAGGCTCAGCTGGGCTTTCTAGATGTCTTGGGGAAAAAGCTGCATGGGGAAAAGTCTTCCCAGGCATGGGAATCCAGTCATTTAACCGAGCCCAGGCCAGAGCTGGGAGCCACCTTAGCAGGAAAGGGCTGGATACTGGGTATGAGGGGCTTGATAGATCCTGGAAGGGAAAGCAGGGGTGTCACAAATGCAAAGTTACAAGGAGGGAAGAGGGGACTGGCAGAGCAGGGACCAACCCCAGATTAATCTCTGCTTGATGCTTGCTGGCATTTACAGCCTGCCTCACCTAAAGTGTGGTCCTGGTGGATGTCCCTGTGGCCCCTGGCTGTCGTCTTAGGGCCTGGGCTGAGTCCTGTCCCAGGGGCATCTGCAGTGAGCTGTTTCTGGAGGGGAAGGCAGGAAGGGGATAAATCTCATGGGACTTTGGGCTCCAGATACCTCAGTCCAACACAGTCCTTCAGCACAGGGCTGGACACACAAGCTGCTTGGCTGCCTCCAACCAGGCAACAGCCGGTTTCATGTTCACAGAAGGTTTCATGTTTTTCGCCATCCTCCAGGAGCGACTGGCCTGGGATGATGAAATAGTAATGAGCCTCCCTCTCTTTCTTGCCCTCTCCCTCTCTCCTCCTGGCCCCAGGCCCTCTAAGGTTACCTCAGTCCTTCGCCTGCGATCTGCTCAGAGCTGTCACCTCTGAGCGAATCCCGGTGTGGATGAGATGCTGGAGGGAAGGCAACGCAGACAGCCAGCTCCCCAGAGCCTCCCCCCCTGCTGCTCATAAGCCCCGCAGGTAATGGAGCCAGGGACGGTGCTGAGATGCCTGCAAGCCCTGACAGAGAGAGGCTGGGGCTGCAGCCTTCCCTGCAAAAATTGCCCTCCCTCTTGGCTCTGTTGCCTCTCCCCAGGCTATCTGGGTGGCAAGGAAGAGTGGCCACCAGCAGCGTCAATGCCAATACGGGGTTGGTTTCCCTGAGCCCTCGTCCACACGCGCTGTGTCTGGGATGCCTGCAGCGTTCAGCATCAAATAGGAGCATGCTAGTTCTCTCCTGAAGTAGGGGAAAAATCTCAACAGTGGGCTGGGTGAGGCATCAAGAGTTCCAGAGGCTCTCGGAGGAGGGAGAAGAAGTAGGCATTTCCAAAGGGCAGCCTTCAACCTCATCCTCAACGCACTGACGGCACCATTGCATCCCCTTCTTCCTCGCAGGAGCATGTCGTGGAGGTCGCAGGGCGCGATGCCAGCAGTGACTCAGACCCAGGCGGGCCCTGGGACGCCCTCCGCATTTTAGCCCCTCAGTGCGAGGTATATGTGTGCGTGGGCCCAGCGGAGGGGACAGAGCGGTGAGTACCAGCCGGGAGCCACGCTGCTCCAACGAGCTCCCTTGGTGTGGAAAACAGAGGAGGGGGAGCAGGAAGCCAAGCAGGGGGAAATCAGATGCCTTCTCCCCTGATGGTCTGCACATGGGTGCCTGGGAAAAAGGGCTGAGCAACCCTCATGCCATGCCCTCTAATTGGCTTCCTCTTGGCTGTCCTGAGAGTGGTCAGGGAACCACCAAAAGAGTCTCCTTCCTTCTCACTGCCTCTAGAGCAAGGCTGGTGGTCCCAGCATGGGCTCTGCCAGCCTGTGCCTGTCCAGTAGAGAGAGAGCTGGCGTGGCTTGGGCTGCCGGTGCTGCCGCCCGCCCCTGAGCCTTGTGGGCTGTGCTGACCACCAGCTGTCCTCTCTCCCTGCCCCACAGCTGGCACGAGAGCAGGGGATATCCCCCGCTCAGCCCCGGAGCTGAGGGTGAGCACAGAGAAACCGGCACCGACCTCAGCACCTGTGCCGAAGCCAACTGCACGCTCACCAGGGTGAGATGGGGATCTCTTGTGGTTTGGGTTACTTTGTTCTCCCCAGCCCCCTTCGCCTTTCAGTGCCACTTCTGCTAGGCCCATTCAGAAGGTCCCGAGATGGAAGGGGGAATCAGCTGAGAACCTTAGTCCCCATAAGGGAGACTCTCCCCCTAAAGAGCACATGAGATTTGCTCCTGGATTCCCCCATGCAGACTTTTCTATGTTGATTCTTGCCATGCCCATTGATGTTGGGCTGGGGTCATCTTATGCTCACCCAGCTCCTCTCCTGGTTCCTTTTTTCCAGAAACTTTGGGATGAATGGGCTGTAACTTCTCGTATATGCTCTTGCCTCCTTCCAGCCCACAAAAGCTACCAGTCCCCATTGCAGAGATCTGCCCTATCTTATTTCCCAGGACAGGGAAATGACACGGTTGTGGGACAACACTTTGGGATCAGGCAAACGGGACATGATGAGCTACACAGGCCACAAGGAGGAGGTGTGGCCGCAAGCCCTGAAGGCAGACAGACTCAGGTGGGCTCAGCCCGTTCCCTCTGGATCCTGGGTGAGAACTGAGGCCCAGGGCTTTAGGAAAGAAATCTGCCCACTGAAAGCAGGTACACTTGGTTTGCTCCCGTGTGAGATCCTCATTCTGGTTTGCTTTCTGCCCGAGAGTCTCTGAAGTTCATGGCAGATCTCTGTTTAGGTTTAGCATCTCCTTTACCCAGTTCTGGTCCCAGGAGGCGTTTGATGCCTCTGTGGGCACCATGCAAAGGGATGAGGCCCAGAGTCCATGAGATGGCATCTCTGTGTGTGCTGACCATGAACTGTGGGTCCCCTGGGTGTTCTCTGTCTGCATGGTTTGGCATGCCCTCAGCTTACAGTGCTGTGTCCCAGTGCTCCCACCCCATCTGGAGGGAGTCTGGGTTTTATCTCTGCCCTCCTGGACCGTTTCTAGCTCTCCTCCGAAGACCTGCTTTGCTGTGGACGTGGTGGCATCCCGCGTTGCTCATGCATCCCCCAGTAATGGCCTTCTCCCCGTCCCAGAGCAGCGCCATCTCGCCAGCCAGAAGCCTGAGGAGAGCTGGCCGAAGCGCCGCATAGAGAGCAGCTATTTCTCCCTGGAGCGCCGGAAAACCGACCCTCCTTGGGCATCCACCCCACTGCATGCCCCTTCTGGCTCCTCACCGGCCCGCAGCGACCCAGTGGGCAGTGGCAGGCGCCTCACTGGCTCCCAGATTCGGGAGCCCCACGGGCACCCTGGCAGCAGGGGTGCAGAGGGGCGGCACGGGCTGGAGAGGCAGGAGTACACGGTGCTGGCAGACCTGCCCAAGCCCAAGCGCCTCAGCCAGCGGGATGCTGTCGACCGCTGCAGCTCCCGCACACTCAGCCCTGGCCGGGTGGAGGTGGAGAGGATATTTGGCTGCGAGCGCAGGTGAGAAGCAACAGACCTCTGTGGTGGTCAGAGGTGGGGGATTGCCCCCCTATGCTGTCGGAGGGGCCCCCACCCCCGAATCACCATGACTCGGGGAGAGAGCAGGGCTAGATTGCAAAGCTCAATTTTCAGCTGTGCTTAAATTTCCCTTAAAGCAAGGGTTGGGTTTAGGCTCAGCGCCTCCCGGCCTGGGGAGCTCCCCCAACTGCAGCATGCAGGCAGCAGAGGCCATTGGAAAAGTGGAGTGAAGCTGCACTGCTGGAAGTGGAAGGAGTAGCCCACCCTCCTCATCCTCCCAGCCGCCTCCTGGGAGCCACAGGATGTGCTGCAGAGTGGGGCAAGCCACAGAAAGGGGGAAGGAGAGAGGTGGTCCCTGCTCCCAGAGCCAGCAGCTCCCCAGGCATCCAGGGTCTGCAGTAGGAGCTTCTCAGGAAAGGATTGGGGATGCTGAGAAGTCCCCAGGGCTGCTTAGGCCTTGGCTGGAGAACTGCGAGTGGCTCCAATGTTGGTGGCACAGGGCAGAAGGGGACATAAATGGGGACCAGGGAAGTATCCTGGGGCAGGTGGGTGGGATGTGAAGAAGCAGAGGGAGGGAAGCTTAAGGAATAGCGTGAAGAAGACATGAGTGAAGCAACATAACACGAAAGCTGGGGTGGTTGAAGCAATGGGGACAGGGCAAGGGAGATACTGTGGTGCACAAGGTTCTGGGGCTGGTGGAGGTCTGTGGGATCAGGCTCCGCAGGAGCAGGGTCCATGTGGGCTCTGCCTCCAAGCTGAGCCTGGCAGCAGCTGGACAGACTGTGTGTGCCCACAGGAAATCAGAGACCCTGGAGGCTTTCCAGGCCCTGGAGGAAGGCCGTGTGGACCGGCTCGATGGCAAGACCCCAGTGCCACCCAGCAAAGGCCGCCTAGTTCGGAGGCAGTCCAGCCCCAGCCTGCCCAGGGAGGTGAGGCTTGGCTGTGTGGTGGGACCCCATCCCAAATCCCTGAGCTGGATTGCCTACATGTTCTTTTTATTTCTGCTGCATGCTTCTCTCTTCTGTTCCCATGCCCCGCTTCCCTATATTTCCAGCCCTCCCCCTGCCACAGGCCAGGACTCTGCTTTACTCTGCTTGCACCTTTGGGTGCAAGAGGCTTCTTTTCGGTACGGGCTGGCTCCATGCATGGGGATGTAATTGCTGTCTGGGGAATTATTTAAGCAAACCATCTTCCAGCCCTAATCCTGTCTTTTTCCCACTCACTGGCATGTTTTCTTAAGAGGACTCTCTGTCTCTCTCTCCCCCGTGTCCCTAGGGCCAGCAGCTCTCCTGGCACCTCGAGCAGCGTGGCAGAGACCCCAAGGAGTCCCTGCGGTCCCGCAGCCCAGCTCAGCACTCAGAGAGGGCCAGCAGGAACCAGGGGGATCTACCACAGGCTGCCAGCCCTGGCCGGCTGCTGGAGAGAGGCAGGGGGGGGGCCCCCCCCCCCCACCAGTCAGAGAAGAGGGCAGGGGAGCCCGTGAGCCCTCCCTGGTGCTCAGAGAAAAGCTGGAGGAGCCGAGGGGAGCCTGGCCGCCCCCTGAACTCGGAGAGGGGCCGAGCTGCCTGGCCGGCAAGGGGTACAGGGCAAGCCCTGGAGAAGAAGAGCCGAGGGGACCCCCTGCACCCAGCGGGCCTCAGGAAGGCCTTGGCTAACAGTGAGCTGAGCCAGGCACGGTCACCACCACGGTCCCTCAGTCCTGGAAGACTTACAGAGAGCACGTGGAGAAGCCAAAAGGAAATCTCCCCTACTGGCCTGGTGCGGGGGGCAGAGAGGCAACGGGTGAAGCTGGGGGAGCCACTGCATCTTGGGGGGCCTGGGAAGCCATCCGAATGCAGCTGGCAGAGCCTCCGGGAAAAACTGCCACCCTCCCACCCCAGGAAGGGTGCCAGCAGTGAATTGAAAGGCCGAGGCAAGCCCCTGCACCCCACAAGCCCAACACGACCACTGGAACAGGACTGGAGGGGACGGGGGGATGCCCACAAAGTGCAGGCATCGGAGAAGGACTGGAAGCGCCAAGAGAAGCCCGTGTGCTATGCAGACTTGATGCACCAGGTGGAAAAGGACTGGAAAAGTCCCACTAGATGTCTGGACGTGGGACTACGGCCAGATGACAGCTGGAAAAGGCCTGAGAGTCCAGCACAGCAGCTGGAGGATGACTGGAAGGGTCTCGAACACGCCCGAGACACAAACAACCCAGAGAAGCCGTTGGAAAGTGACTGGGGCAAGAAGAGGCTTCTCGTTTATCACGTGAGTACGGCAGGAGCCAGAGCTGATGGGGACCCTGCCAGGTGTAAAGCTGGCAAGCACAGAGCGGGTGGCTCCCCTGGGTTGCAATTGTGTGCACCCCGGCTCCTCTGCTTCTCCAGGGGAGCCATGCTGCCCGCTTGGCACTGGGAAGAGGGAGGATGCTTCTCCCCCTGGCCAGCCCCAGGTGGATGCTCAGGTCTGGGAAACCGAGGTGAGGACTAAAGCCCCGTGGCTTCAGCTCCCTCTTTCTGTCCCTGCAGCACCAGCTGGGTGGAGGCGTCTTCCCACTGCACAGCGCTGGCTCATCGGGAAGCCCACGTCCACATTTGAATGCCAGTGAGAAGTGCAACAAGGTAGGGGCCATGCCCTGGGCATGGTGAGGAAGGGCAGCTGCCCTTCCCCAGAGATCACTGCAGGCAGCACCTGGGTCTCCAGCAGTTGATCTGAGTGGGCTCAGCATGGTGCTGCCTTCCTGTGACCTCCTGGGCATCACATTCACTAATACCCCCCTTCCCTTCGTCCTTCACCCATTTCTCAGCTGGGGAAACAGAGGCACAGAGCCTTTTTTTTAAAGCTAGAGAGGGGTGAGCAGTAGACCTGGGACTAAAATCTCAGCATAGCTGCTTTCCTTCCTTTTATTATTGCCCGGTGATAAGATGGCACCGAGGCTTTTATAGGGATGAAGCGGGCATTAGTAGCATGAAAGAAGATAGGGTCAATTGTGTTGGCATTTCTGGGATACCAAAAATGGTGCGAGAGTGGTTTTGGAGGGCTGCAGAAAGTGTCCTGGGAGCCCATGTAGCTGGCAGCTGTGCCCGAGTCCCTGCCTCCGTCCCGTCCGTGTGCGTCAGTCATCTTGGCCAGGTTGTCCCTTGCTAGGGCCTGGCTTTGTGCTTTATACAAGGTCAAACTGTAGCTGGGCAGGAGGCTCCCAAAGGCCTCTCAGACTTAAAACTGGTGACATTCCCTCACCTCCCTGCCCCGGGCTGGAGGGGAGCCCAAGCCTTGAGCTCCCCCTGCACAGCTGGGGCTGGTTCACCCCACCTATCCCAGGTTTCTTTGGCACCGAGCTCTGGGCCAGGCGCCTTTGCTGTGGCTTGCAGCGAGAAGCATCGCCTCGGCGTAATTGTGCAGTGGAGCGTGGCGTTTCATGATGTGCAGCCCCCTGCCCCTTCTCCACCGGGAGCCCTCGCTAGCAATCCCCCTTCCCTATTAGGGCCGGCTTCCCCCGGGCACCGGAGCGCCCCCCCCCCCGGACTTCTGCCAAGATTGCAAATCGCTGCTTCAGGGGTTCAGTTTGGAGGGGGCGGGGGATAAAACCGAGCAGCTTCAGGAGCGAAGGCGAGGGCCCCGCGGTGCGCACGCACGCACCGGGAGTGCTTAAAATCCCTGCGAGTAAAAAATCCCCGCCTGAAAGCAAACCCTGCCTGGGTGGAAGGGCTGGGCTCCCGGCGGCCCCTTCCTGGGGCAGGAGCAGCTCAGCTCCCCCCTCCCCG